ATTGAACTATATTCACCTTTATAACATTTACTAATATAGATTAGATTTTATGTTGGAGTGATTCGAACACTCAATAGTAAATACCAAAAATTTATGACTTACCGGTCTAATAGTCCACAACATATATTTTTTTTTTCTAATTACTTTTTCTTAATTTTAAAGTAATAGCTATCGTTTCAAAGGGTCTTTTTTGTAATATACTTACTTACACTAGAGAAAGATAAACCTGCATATTTAGTTGCACTCTTAATGGTGCTAAATTCTTCAATTAAATTATGTAATTTATCATATACACAAATTGTCACGCCTTTAGTTCTTACTTTCAATTTAGGAATAGTTTATTTACTTACGGGGGTTTAATTGTAGAAATATTACGCTTACCATAATACTTACCCCTACGGTTTGAATAAAAGTTAAGTATACTTTCCATGATATGCTTGTATACCAACATAAATCCTCCTACTTTGTTAAGGCTGGGTAAAAAGTTATCTAAATAATATTGGTCTTTATTTAACAATATTTTTTTATTCATTACAATATACGTATTATCCTTTGAAATACTTACCTACTCAATTATACCAAATTCTATATTATTTCATCCATGTTTAATAACTAAATTATAAAAATTACTATTATTACCTTCGTATATTGAACATCTGTACCTATGTTGCCTGAATCTTTGCGCAATATTTATACCTTAACGTATATACACCTAATTTTCATGTAATTTTAACCTGTATACATATACACCAGACCCTTGTGGCGAAAATTTATAATGCCCTTTTGTAGTAAATACTTTTTCATTTAAATTATATCATGTTATTTTCTCCATGTATAGGTAGCAAGATTTGAACTCGCACAGTTATAAAACCATTCCGTCCTAAGCGGAACCTGTCTACCAATTCCAGCATACCTATTTTTTTTTTTGTTTTTTATGGTTTTTGTTTACTATGCATGATTATTGAAACCTAATTACTTAGACTTCTATCAACTCAATAAATAAAATAGTCCACATTGTTATTTTTTTAGTACTCCCTTCGCGCTTTGCAAAAGAAATATTAGATAGAAAAAGAATTATTTTATCTTTTGCCTGAGATAAGATTCGAACTTATAACCTAAGCATCTTCAGAGCTCCGCTCAGCCAATTGAGCTTCTCAGGCTTTTTTATGTATGTTTAAATATAAA